ATTTCACTTTCTTATTTTTTATTCACAGACTTTAAAGCTCCTCATGTGTCAATAAAAGAGGGTACAATGATTTATATACTCAATATGGATGCACATCCATCATCATCAACAATAGAAGAGAAAGTCCACAATGTGTTATTTGTGGCAACGCTTTGTTAAATGATACAATGAAACCAAAGCAGTTGAAGCAACATTTGCAGAATGTCTTCAACCTAAGGACAAGGACAAAAGCCTGTCAAACGACATGGCCATTCTCTCAAAAAAGATGATGTTGAATTCAACAGGAACATTCCAAGAAATGAACCATAACGCTACAGAAGCATCTTACCTCGTAGTACTGGCGATCAGAGGAAAGCAGAAAAGTCACATACAATTGGGGATACTTTGATCAAATTTTGCACTCTCAAAATTGCGGAAATTATCCTGTGAAATGGACTGATAAAAAACCTGCAGCAGTTTCATAATCAAACAGTACATTCCAAAGGAGAATCAGCGACATGGCTATTGAGTTCAAGGATCAAGTGGCTTGGCGGAAATCAAGTCTGCAGCATTTAGTTTATTTTCAATTCAACCTGATGAATTGAGTGATGTGGCATCGTAATTCCAACTGCTGGTATTTGCAAGATATGTTCACTCTGTTAAATAGGCGTTTCTCTGTTTTTTGTTTTTGAAACAACTACCAAGGCCTCAGATATTTTGGAAAAGATTTCATCTTTCTTTGAATCAGAAAATATTTTGTGGGATAATGCCCCTTGAATGCGGTAGAGTTGGAACAGCAGCCATGTTTGGGACGAAATCTGGAATACAAGTCTGTGCGATAAAGCGAGCTTTAAAAATGAAAGGCATTTGCTCCATGACCCAGCGTCAGGCACTGGTTTCAAAAACACTCCACTGGAGAAGGTTTTGCATCAAGCAATTCAAATTATGAATTTTGTCAAAGCAGGAGCTCTCAACTCACGAACTTTCTAGCAGTTACTCATGTGGATGCAGGTCATTATTTGCTTCTTTTCCACAAAAGTCTATGATGAATTTCAAGGGGAAATGTAACTGACCGAGTATCTGAGCTTAAAGATGAGCTAAAATTATTTTGTGAAGTTCCGGGTAAAACGGAATAATTTGCTTGGCTGGATGATGAGCGAAGGATCACGCGCCTTGTCTATTTGGTTAATATTTTTGAGCAGCTGAATGAACTAAATCTTCAGATACAAGGAAGGAATACAAACAACACGAACTACATTTTTTTCCTTGAAAGTTACCACGAGCTTGTTAGAAAACTGGAAGAGAAAAGTCAAGATAAAAAAAGTTGAAATGTTTAAGAAACTGTTATCAGTTCTTGTTGCTAATGGTGATGATAACGCTTCCAGAATTTGCAAAAAATGAAATTTTACAGCACAGAAAAAGCATTCAGCCGATATTTTCCTGAACTCAGTGAAGACGAGTTGGATTTAGTGAAAAACTCATTCAAATTGTCTTTGAAAAAGTTCCTGGTGATTTTCAAGAGAAATTTCTAAAGGTGAAGATTGATCAGGATGCAAGAAATGTTCGATGAGAAACCAATCACAGAATTTTAGCCCTTAATGTTTGATTTCCACTAAAATTGTGGCAGAAATGGTTATTGATTTTTGTCGACTCAGGCTTTACAAATCTGTTGCAAGTGACAATAAAGCAACGAAAGAAGAACTGGTGGCTCATTATGACCTGGGTAGTGTTCTTTCGAGCACTCCTCTGCGAATCCAAGGATTAACAGAGAAAAAAACAAACAAAAATTTTTCCCCTTGACTGTAATCTTCATCTGAACAAATTGAATTACAGTAATCTGAAATTGCATTAACTTGCTGTTTATTGAAACATACTTGTTTAGTGTCTTAATTAATTAGCTATAAATATAAATAAATTACTTTTACTTAAGTTTTAAAGTTCGTCAACTTTTTTTATTGCTATTAAATTTGTAAAGCTTTACAAGAAAAATAATCCAACTAAATGTGTATGTACCAATATACAAAATTATTTTTAAAATTTTTTCACCGCTCTAGGTGTATTATTTGAAATGTCAAACAATTCTGGAAAGAGAGGAATAATATCCTGGCATTTGGTGAAAAGGGTGCATGAGAACCACTGAGAGATGATGCAAGGTCAGTTGACTCACTTCCTTCAACCTCCAAACTTTTTGTGCTTGATGTTATGAATGCCATCAATCTGTTTGCGTAAACAGAACTTCTGCGATTTATGACGTTCGCTGTATTCCTTATCTTAATACCCTTGTTATAAGGCATCGATTACTACGTCGTAGAAGAAACTGCTCTATCCAAACGCAGATTTACCCTGACCATTTTGATTATCATACACAGAGAAATTAAGATTGTAGTAAAGAAACGAGCTTTTTCTTCGTTTACGAAAATTCATATAATAATACCGTAATGGACTGTAGAATGTAGAAGTTGCATTTAACATACTTCGGTACTGCTTTACGCGGTTAATTATGTAATAACTGTAGCAAAGCAGTAAAACCGAACATTTTTATGATTGCACAGCAAGCTAACGCATTTTGGAGAAATATTGAACAATTATTCCGGGAAGAAATGCGATATATACGCTTATATCCAGGATTTTCAAGTAGCTCGCGCAACCGCAGTCAAATACAGAAATGCACATGATGAAATATCAGGGTTATTGGGCTGCCTAAATGCAGTCCACCCAACCCCTTCCCTGAACAACTAGTAATAAGAGAACGATACAATAAGCCATGTAACATGATTCTGAAGGAGTTAAGCGCTAGTTACACTAGCATGGTCTGGGCTTTCTTGTTTTTTAGGTTAACACCTTGTGCTGTTATCATACCATATAAGCAGTAATCAGATTGGTAAAGGGGAACTGAAGACTTTAAGTGCAGGCATCAGACAACGCACCGTATATCTTGGAAGCCCTGGGATTACAGCACCAGAACTCCATGCTGTTTGCGCTATTGGTGGGTCAATAACCGGTAGCGCCGAAGCGCATTGGGACGAATTCGTAATTGAATGGGATGGATCAATACATAAGAGAATTTTTCGGTACCTATGAAAATAAAAAAATACATCTCTGACCCACTGTGCCACTGAATTTGTACCAGGTACAATATCACAGACCGCGTACACTTTAAAACGTGTTTCCATTAGCAGCTATGGTGAATCTCGAAACGCCTGGCCAATAAGGTTTTGGCGGATTATTACTAAACGCTGACTAATAATAAACATAATCACCCAGTGATCTGGAAGTGGCAGCCAGCCGGAAGCCTTTCCCATGGAAAAAATGGCTGCAACTGATTCACAAACAAGTACCCTTAGCCACATCAGAGGAACGTTGTTGGTATGCCGTGCTCGATGGCGCTATTGCTCAATGGAGACTCTACAAAAAGACATCCAACCAAGAAAAATGACCTTAAGCTTCTACACAAGGGTTTCGGCCCTTGCTATCAATGCGGTAGTATGCGGATATTCTTCTGACTGACGCAATACCCCCCCCCTTTCGACCATGCGTACAGGATGATGATGACAGCTGCTCAAGATTTAGCGGTGCAAATCATGCCTAACAGCAATACAGACGTAATTGTCAACGAGTGAATTGGAATGAAGCTTGATTGGTCAACGAATGCATGGAAGCGCAGCGAAGACTAGATCGTGGAAAAAACCGAACGCTCGATTGAAGGGAGGAAAAACCGATAATTCTCGAGAACGTTAGCAATCAAAAATTTAAGAAGAATAATTTGAATTATTTTCATTAAAATTTATGATCGTTACCATGTATTACCCAAAACTGACCAAGTTATTACGCACATGGATCGATAAGCATTCACCGACTTCGGATGTTCGATAATAGATTTTCGGTCTCATGATTCATCGTCGTTAGCAGACGAGCATGAAGCCACAAAGTTAACAACATATCGTTTCTGTAGAAATAGCACATCTACGGTTTTTCGCAGTGGTATCATCTTCTTACTAGCATAAGAATGAGTGGGTGTTTCAATTCGACTATTTTCTTATTACTTAGCCGTTGCATCACTTCTCATTTCAGTTCCATAACATAAATGCTAACTTAAGAGCTTAGAGAACAGAACAGGTTCTGAGTGGAATACTTTGTCACTGAACTATTAAAGGTGATGACGGCAGACAGTTATATAAAGTCTGTAACTGTTGAAATTTTGGTCT